AAACGTGACTGAAGTCCTGAGCGCAGTTTTTGAATTTTATTGCAAGATGCACTGTGAGATCGCGTGCTCTGTGACGTAGGATGACGCTTCCTGGATCACGACGCGGCCATCTATCGCGAACTTTTCTGGAACGCTACTCGGAAAAGACCATGATGGCAGAGGTAAGATGAGCTGCATTTCCTGCTTGATCTGCTAAGAACCCCAACAAACTGTCCTAGGAGTGTTGCAATGGCAGCAAGCCGTTGAAATATTCCCCTCGTAGAGCATGGAGAGTTATTCATCTTTCACACCTACCTCCTGCAATCCCGAACATAGTCCAACAGTAAAAGTCCCTTGTTTTCATGTCGATGCTCGACGAAAGAGGCTAGCTCGGTCGCTTTGTGTTGACTGGCAGGCGAGCAGCACTGGCTGCACGCACTTGTCGCGTGAACTGCATGACAGATTTCTTACGTCATAAAAAATGTGATTTCATCATCATTTCACTGGTCTTCGACCTACATGGTCAGGGAAAGTCCCGGTTCGTAGGCCTACAACACGGTCAGCGTGTTCTTGAGCGCAGTAACAACACAAGTGTGATCACTTCCAGACCAACGGACGTTCAAGGCGAGTAACAAGCGCACTTTACGAAGGTGACTCTGAAATCTCGTGAGCCGTGATCAACGCGACTTGTCATTCTTGCGTCACAAGGCACGTGATTTCACTGTGCCTCTTGTAGTAAAATTCAAGATTTGCGCTCATGCCTTCAGTTCCTTTTGCATCAACAGTCACAAAAAAAATATTGGTTGTGCAAGGATATTGGTTGCTTGTCGTTTGGAGTGACAAGTGATCCCCGTTGCTTTTCCTTGTCAGAGTCAACAATACACTTTGTTCTGCGGCCTTTGGAGTAGTGTATCATTATTATTGTTAGGTACCTCCTCCCGTACCTTTTCTAGCTGGCCTGCATGCACTTACGTACTCACCTTTTGTCTCCTTTTGTTCCGTTGGCCTGGGTAGCTACTTGCGCGCCCATATTTGCCATAGCTACCCAGGCCCTTTATCTTGCCGTTCAGACTTGATCTCTCTCTCTTTTTTCTCACTCGTCAATAATCATCATGTAGTCGTTTCGTTCGTCTTGGTCTCTTGTCTCGTCGTCTATAATAAATGTCGTCCCAACCTACCTGTTCCCGTTGTAATGTCTGGATATGTCGTCAGTCGTCCTGTTTCGAACTCAACATTATTATAAGCACTATGGCGATGTAAGCGGGGATGCCTACTTCACTTGTGCCATTCAGGATGATGATAAAGCGAAAGACAAACAGAAAGCTCAGAATCGTGAGGAACAATGCTGTAGAGCAGAATAGCTGTGATCGATTGGATGCACTACAGAAAGGTGAAAATTATTAGTTCATTGATAATAGCTGGTGAGTACGCAGACGACGTTGACTTCATTAGCCACAGTGAAGCCTACCTTCGGGAAGTGGAAACCATTGCCCCAACCATTCTCGGCAACTGGCATTTGAATATCAATGCCTCGAAAACCGAGTATGCAGAAGTATCCAGGAAACCCCACCGGAACGACGAAGTGTGGAGATCAATTAAAAAATTGGGCTCTTTCCTAGGAGATGCTGAAGACGCTGCGAGACGGAGACAACTTGCTGGCTGCGCATTCCGGTCCATGTACCTCATCTGGTTCCGACGAGGCGAAATCAGCGAGCGTCTCAGGCTGCGACTGTATGGGGCGTACATCATACCTGTCCTCACGTACAACAGTGGCACCTGGGGGTAGTGTTGGAGTAGAAATTGCTGAGGAGACGTCGCGGAGGGGTGAGCTTTCCTGCGCAGGTATGACTTTGGCCTTATTTCAGCATGGTCGAGTGGAAAAATTCAAAAACGTTTATTTCAAGAAAACCCCAAAAGGAAGATGGGGGACATGTCCTCAGCGCTAGAATAGGCGTTCTACTATCTGCCGGTGTAGGGGTCTGGCCAATTGGGGACGTAGCTGGCTGCTTTGCCAGCGCTTGTAAATTGGCTATTTTCAAGACGGACATTTGTGGCGTCAGGGGATGATGGACCTCGTCTTCTGGAATCCTGGCGTGGCTAAGCGGGACTGCTCCAGGAACTCTTCTCAGGTAAGGTAATGTTGGCTTGATGGAGTTTTGTTCGTATCTTGTTCGTATACGCTGTAGCATGACTCGTTTCTAGACCCATAAATAATGTGATATTTCGGCCATTTTTGAGGGTATGCAAATTTCAAGGTTCTCTTCAGAAACGTTTTCAAGGGCTTTACATAATCGATCCACACCCCAAAGGGAACCTACCTGCAAATTTTGAGCGAAATCGCAGAGATCCACTTACACACATACTTTGGTATTTTCAGACATGCTCTCTTAAGGTAATTGAGGATATTTTGAATACCTCATTTTACTCTCTATCGGTGGTGTGATGTTGCTGGCCTCCTGATTAATACTATATTATAGTATTGTACTATTATAGTATCTTGTACGACATAATATATATGTGTATCTGTTTTGTTCCATTTCTCTGTGTTTTATGTTCCTGGTTCTTGGTCTTTACTTTGGTCTTTGTTAGTGCTTTGGTTTGACAAGTACTGTAATAATAATAATGTCCCAGAACATTATATTGGCGACGAAGATGAACTAGATTTAATAGTTATAGTCATATAGATGACCTGAGTAGGCCTCAGTGACAATGGCGCTCACAGGAGTAGGCCCGGCTTTGGAGCCGTTCGATCTCGAGGGTACTGCCCATGAAGTTTCTGCAAGATGGCGCAGGTGGAAAAGATCATTCCAGTACTATATGGATGGGCAGAACATAACATCCGCGAAAAGACAGAGGAGTCTGTTCCTGTATTTGGCTGGTATGCCAGTACAGGAGAAATTCGAAACGCTAACAGAACATTACAGGTGAATACAGCAATCTGTATCACTAGTATCGCTACATTTGTTGCTCCGTTTGTTTCTACTTTTCCTTTGCAACAAAAGCGACATATAGGCCATTAATATAATATGAGGCATCGGCAGCAAGAACCGGGGTCCTGGCGATTTTTCAAAATGCCAATATTTGCGAAAAACCGAACCGATGTCGTTTTTTAGTCACCGCGATCAAAGCGGAAAGACTTCTTGCGATATCGCTTTGAAAGTGCTTTTCTCTTGGTGGCTTCGCTGTAATTTGTTGTCATTGCAGTTGTAGTTTATCCGCCAAGCACTTGGGACGTCCAGGTAGGCGCTTTCAGCCACCATGGAGGCGTTTGCGCTCTGGGTAGCGTCTGCAAATCATGCGCTGAAAAGAGAGCGGAACAAATAATTTCTTGGCGGAACGATCCCGTCACGAATTCTTGATGGAGCACGAGCGACTAGAATATTTGGCAACTGGATCTCCAGAGATACTCCGCTGCCTGTGATAGTCCCCGCAAGAAGAATCAGGTGAAAGTGAAGAGGTTTCGCTACGATGACAAGCCATCAGCGGAGGCAGCGCAGACGACGAGTTTGAGAGCTCCGTGACACGAAGTGGCGACGCGGACAGCAGCGCTGAGAGTCACGAACGAGATTCAGTACTCCGTGGCGACTATTCGCAGCTGGATAAGTAAATTAGTTGGTGAGATACGGAGACAGCCCTGAATGAACTAAACCTGACTTGATACAAGATATTTTGTGAATAAATTTGTTGCAAGTATACATGCACGCTTGCGGTGCGCATGAACTTTGTCACAGTATTTTACATGTATCTACGAGCTGCTGTGCGTAGGAGAGCAAGACATGCTTGGTGGATGTATCTGGCTTGGCCCAGCATGCATATCTAGTCTTGTCCTAAGTTGCAGATTCTTCCCAGCCATGTAAAACGTCAGTTGCTTGGCTTCTTTCTGTCTGACAAGTCTGCATACAACGCCAGACCTGCACATGACAGGGATTGAGTTTTCAAGTAACATTGCAGCAAGTGCAGGCAACAATGTTACTATAAATTATAATATCAACTAGAGTACGCTGTGCTTCCCTGAAGACCTTTAAATATGCTAAATTGTTTTCAGTCACTCCATTAGAGCTCGCTGTAACTGCGTTCCATGTTGCCTTTTTGCTGACCATTTTTGTTGACCGTCACCCATCATTTCGGGCGTTCTTTTTACCATCTTGGAAGGTGCCCAGAGCTCCAAAATTTGGCCCATAGATCACTCATTTAGTGGACAGTTCAAAGCCATCAAAAACTCATTTTTGCCAAATATCACCTAACCCTGGTTTTTGCTGCCCATGCCTCATATATTAATGGCCTATATATTGAATATATTATATTCAATCATGCTGGTTTACAGAAGGTTTGAGGTCCTAGAGCATCAGAAGAAATCTGCCAAGGTTTATCCATATGGGAGGAATTAAATTGACATTGTCGTTTACGTCGTAGATTTTCCTTGTGACCAGGCGAGACCAGACGACGCTTGAAGACACCAGCACGAACATTGTACCAATCACAATCAATAACAGGTAGAAGTTGCTCCTGACATTGAAGCCTTGTTTCGTTCCAAATATGATGAATAGAAATTATCAGAGGGGAGGCAGATATTAAATGAAATGGGTTGAACTAAAATGATATAGACCTTACTCAATACACGTCAAAGGCTGCAATCTCCATAGTAACGGTGATCCGCTGAGCTCATCATGAGGGACTGAGTGGCAAAACTAAATTTTTGAACTAGAGAAGCAGCTGCTGATCTGATTATTATTATTATGAGGGAGGAGGCATTTTTTGTTTCGTTGTGGAAGAGTCATTCCTTCTTTAGTTTTGCTAGTACGATGGTCAAAGGTTGTTGTGCTGTTGGCTGCAGTAACCGGTCTAAGGTTGGTTCGGTTGTCAGTTTCTACCGCTTTCCGGCAGACCCTGTGAAACGGAAGAAGTGGACTGTAGCTGTTCGTCGTGACAAGTGGTCACCAAATCAAAACACTGCACATTTTGTTGGGGGAAAGAAGAGTGGTAACCCTCTCTCTCCAGATTATTCGCCTTCAGTTTTTTTCATTTGTACAGAGTCCTGTTAAACGGAAACAGAAGGAGCAACTAGAAGCGTACGAGCGGAGATCGAAGCGTGTACGGTCAGGCCCGGTGTTCGATACCGGTGCAGATACGCCTCCACTGAGCGTGGTGAGTTCGTACTACACTGTGTACTAATGGAGCTGCAAGTAATTAGTTTGTTTGCCGACAAGGCTGTCGAGATTCAAATCTGTAGCCTCACGATGGCCTGTACTGTGGCAAATAAGAGAGTAGAGTCATTGAGGAGGTTGTTGTTTCAAATCTTTATCCTCACGATGGCCTGTGTGTACTGTTGTTGTTTGGGAGATTGCTGACAATATTGTGGAGATCCCTGTGGAGAGCAGCGATGATACTCCTCCACCGAGCGTGGTGAGTACTAATCCAACTACAAATTTGCCGACAAGGCTGTCGAAATTGTAATCTTTATCCTCACGATGGCCTGTACTGTGGCTAATAAGAGATAATAGAATGAGATTTACATCACATGGAGGGTTTGGAATGCTGGAGTTATTTTTGTTGTTATTGTTGTTGTTTTGTAGATTGCTGACAAACCTGTGGAGATCCCTGTGGAGAGCAGCGATAGGACCGACTCAGCTAGTCCAGACTCCGGTGGTAAATGCTGTCATCACGAGTCAGAATTCGATAATTTGAAATGTGAGAACTTGCTGCTGAGAGAGGAGGTGAAGAAATTAAGGGCCCAAAACTCAACTCTCCGTGGTCGAGCAGCACTTTCTGAGAACGATCTGATATTTCATGATGACAAGGTGAAGCTCTACACCGGATTGCCAACGTACGCTGTGCTCATCACTGTTTTGAGTTTGTTTCCAGCGACGTTGAGCGTCACCACCGCTCAGCAACCTCATTGTTCACGCAGTTCTTGATGACGCTAATGAAGCTCCGTCTGAACTCAAATGATTCTGACCTTGGGTATCGTTTTGGTGTGGCCCAGAGTACCGTGTCGAGGTATGTGCTGAAGTGGGTGAACATTGAGTTTTTCTCTCTTTCGTGGAGGCTTGCTTGTTGTATCCTTGGCTCTCGGCCGTTGCTTTATCGCCATCATAATATAGGGCACCATTGCCGTTTGGTCTGCGATACAAAATAAAATTTCATCAACAACAACAACATTATGTATGTGCGTATGAAGCCACTTGGCCAGATGGCCAGATCCGGGTGATCTAGGAAAGACAATGCCGCCAGAGTTCGCCAAAAATTTCAAGAAGTGTGTGTGCATCATCGACTGCTTCGAAGTATTCTGCCAGCGTCCCTCTGATCTGATGGTGAGAGCGCAGTCATCCTCACATTATAAATCGCACAACACGATCAAGTTCCTCATTGCCATTACACCGCAAGGTGTAATATCGTTCATCTCACAAGCCTGGGGTGGGAGGACATCAGATAAGCACATCACCGAGAATTGTGGCTTTCTGGAGAAAATCCTCCCGGGTGACCAGGTACTGGCAGATAGGGGCTTCACTGTACAAGACAGCGTAGGTCTGTACTGTGCTGAGCCTGTGATCCCACTATTCACGAGAGGGAAGAGCCATTTGTCTCGAATTGAAATTGACAAAGCGAGACAGCTCTCCCGAGTTCGGATTCATGTTGAGCGAGTGATTGGTGTGCTACGCAACAAGTATACACTGTTGCAATCCACATTGCCGATCAACCTCCTCATGCGTGACAGCGGTGATCCAAACATTGCTGTCATTGACAAGATTGCCACTGTGTGCTGCGCGTTGTGCAATTGCTGTGAGTCAGTCGTGCCTTTGGCTTAGCAGGGATGTATCCTTAGCTCTCAGACAAAGCCAGAGCTGGATGTGTATAGTAGTGCTTGCTCCATCTCCGGACATTTGGCTGTTTCGACACCGTGATGGCTCATAATCTTAACCTTTTTGCATCAAACTTCATGTCAAAGTCCTTCATAAAATCCAGATCTCTCTCTCTCTCTCTCTCTTTCTAATTTTGATTGCTTCACCCTGACTGTCATGTATGATTTCTTCCTTTCTAGGTCTTTTAGTGATGGCTTGGACAATTCACTTGTCCAGGCGATAAGGCAGTCTCTCTCTCTGTGTCTCTCTCTCTCTCTCTCTCTCTCTCTCTCTCTCTCTGCCTTTCTCTTATCTTTGCATGCTTTACCCTGACTCACATGTACTATTCACATATACTATTTCTTTCCTCTATTGGTCATGCAGTGATAGCTTGGACAATTCATTCGTCCAGGCAATAATGCAGCCTCTCTCTCGCTCTCTTTGATAATGCGTGAGTATGCGGTAGAGTACGCGTATGAGACCAGAAGTGTGAACGTGCGTACATGGTATAAGTGGGTGCTGTAACGGAACGCGACTCCAACTGCCGAACGACCCAACCCCAACCAGGCACAACCACAGCCAATCCAGGGGAATACAGGGATACAGATAATAATTATAGCATTACCAAATTATAGTATAACGAACGTTGCAGTCCAAGAGAAGTCTGAAGAAGATCGAAAGGAACTCGCCAACTACTACCTCGAGCCTGGACCATTTGCGTCTCCGGAACTAACTCAGGTCCACGTGGTCATGCACGAGGTCACAGGAAACATGCATAAGACAGTTGGACAAAGCAGCAAGTACTATGGCTGTACCAAAGAAATAAAGACGTCATATGTAGAAACAGCAGCAGAATGATCCGCACACAGCACGTACAGTAGCGTACAGCTCGCAAGCACCAGCATGACTCATGAGTCAGACACACTGCTAAGCATGCACACCCTACCTCTTGATGCACGACACAAAGGCCAAGGGAACAAGCACCAATGCAATACAACAGAAACATGTAAGCACACCAACATGGTGAAGATAGCTAACCCATTGCTAAATAAAAATAACATTGTCATAAAGCCATAGTTCCAGTTCAGTGCACAGCACCATAAATAAGTACATCACAATGTGATAGGAAAATAACTCTCAGTGTTACCCCGGCTCGGCATAAGCAATATTACTCAAGATGCAGGGTTAACGTTCTTGGGTGCTTTCTTGGCATCCTTCTCGGCCGTCCTTGTTTTGCGGCAAGTGGGGCAGTACCATTTGCGATTCGGTATTCCCTTCATCCGCAAGCAGACGACATGAAATGTCTTGACAGGGCACTCAACGCCAGCACACGTCACCGTCTCTGAATCTTTCACTTGGTTGCAGAAGCAATGCCCAGTCTGAGGCACGTGCTGGCCTGCATGTTCACTTGATGCTGTATGTCCTGTGGCGATTTCAAAGCCTTTGCTGAAGAACTTGCCAACTAACTCTGGCAGCACAGCCAGTTTGAAAAAGTCAAAGACTTTAGAAATGGCACCAGAAATTAAATCAGTATCCGGCAAGATGCGAGAAATGACAAGATCCGTATGAGAATACACAATGAAATCGCAATACATAGCTTGGCACAGAAACATTTCAGCCTGCACTTGATAATAGTATGCATGATCTTTCTTCAAAAAGAAAGAACCATCAGCATTTCGACCAAGGCAGAAGCCCGACTTCTCGGTTGCATTGTCGAAGGAACTGTCACAGCAGCTGTAGGGATACTTAACCTCCACTACACCGTTGCCACAGAAAGCACAAGACACAACACCATCTGGGCTGGCACCAAGGTAAGGATAGTCGCTACGGACCACAAAACCACTGTCACAAAGCTAGAATGCCTTATGCTTCTTGATCACATGTACCTTGTAGGCATCCCTGGCAATTTGCTCATGTTCACATCCCCATGTTGTTGCTTTGGATGTAAACGTCATACTCTGTGGGTAGCAAATTGCCTTCACCAGTGATACAGAAGGTTGATGGGCGTCACTGTGGGAAGCGGCTTTAAACTTTGAGGCAGTGATGCGACCCGCACGGCACATAAACCACAAGTCTGACTTTGCTTGCTGGTGCGTTGCTCATTTCATTGCCATCCACTCATCTGGTGTCACAGAAATTGTCGAGAACACTGCATTACATAGGTCAAGCAAGTCACTGTAATTGGCTGAGACCATCGACTCCTCATACAAGTTGGACAGTGGTGCAGGAATATCAGATGGTAGCTTTGAAACATATGCATCTGCGTAACCCAGCACGATGGACAGCAGGGCTGGCATTGCCACCTCGGACAATTTGCTGTAAAATCCATCCAGTTTTAACGTTGTTGGTGCACTGGCCGAAATAACAGGAGGAGATATTGGGCTGGGTAAAGCAGCAGACGACTTGGATGTCTTTGTCTTCTTGCTGGGGGAGGTGAAATCCATATAAGCTATTCTCTTGTAGTCAACTGACTTTATGGACGGTGGCAACCACATACATCCCTTTGATGTGCAGGCGTTGTCAGACACAAATTTAGTGTCCGATTTCAAGGCAAACAATAAAGCAGCGATGTGGGCGCATGCTGCACCCAGCCCCGCTTTGCAGGTGCAGTGGGCGCAAAGAATAGTGCCATTGTGTTCTGCAGCTACCCACGGAGTGAGAGGGTCGCTGCTGACTGACTGGGAGTGTCTCACCTTTCCTTTCACAACTCTCTTTTCTTGATCCGATGTCGCCTCGTACGCACTCACATCTCCCAGCCACCCTGCCACCAAGAACGTGTGACCGTCGAGACTTTTATATGCCTTCAGTTCTTCCTTTGTTACCGGGCTAGGCGCTGGAATTAAGTAATTGTACAAGTCCGGATATTCGACCAGAGGAAGCAAGTCTGACAAATGATCGCCTTGATGGCCACTGATGCAGTACGGGTCTTTCGCTCCCTTCGCGATCAATTTTAGCTTTTCGTCGTACCTTTTCTTTGCAGCCTCATCCAACTTCTTGTACTCTGATGAAAACTCCACTGCCTCGCTTTGCTCGCCATCCATTACTAACTGCTGCCTTCTTCATCCCGTCTCGAATCTCTTCCGCCCAAACTCAGTGGTTTGACCGTTTGTACTTTCAAACTCAAAACTCTCAGCTGCTCGCTTTTGCCACTCAGTGACTCTGCAGCCCCCTTGGCCGCGCAACAAAATCATTTTGGCCGTCTAACGTCACATTAATTTTAAAAGTTGCCAACTGCACAAGACAACTATTTCACGAACCTCGTCACATTGACTGACGTTGGGTAGAAAGGAGTGCGTGATGCACTGGCGAACTGAGAGATGCTAAAGTGATGTATCCATCCAGATACTGACAACATAGTGAGTGTCTGACGCTATAATCCTTGCAGCCGATCATCGTTGTTCACATCAATGGAAGATGGCCTGGTCCAAAAAAGTCAAATTTAGTGATGTCACGTGACGCACCACCTACTGAAGATGGCATCCAAAAAACTGTCGTATACATTGGATGCTGGTGGACGTCTATGTGTGGCAAAATAGTGAGGTGGCCTGCTTATAAGCAAGGCTAAATGCTCCTTCACAACTACTTCTTCCCAGGAATCAGCAAGTGTATATTCTAGCCTAGTGTCAATTGAAATACATCCTTTTCGTGTGCAGTGCTGTTCTTCTCTTACTTGTATTATTTTGCGTTCAAGTGAAAAGCATGTAAGGTCCACTCTTTCTTTCCTCAAGTCACACTGGTCAAAAATCATTGACAGCTGCACAAAAAGCTGATGGTTTCCTTATGGAGGTAATATGTGATCGTCTTATACTGCGAATTTTGTTCACACTCAAAAATAAAAAATAATAATCATGGCTTCATCAGAATGATGCTAGACGTACAGCACCGGGCTCTTTGGGACCCAATGGTCGAAGCACAAATCAGTGAAAGGCAGCACTTCGGGTAGTAGTAAACATGACCTATGCTCCACATGTTGAACTCCTAGTGAGGCAAGCTCAGTGGAGATAAGACTGGAAAGGCACAGATAGAAAGCCAAACCATGTATAGGTTTGGAGCACGACTCTTGGCTTTTCACCCAGCACGCATTACCATCATAACACAAATAAATTGAGACTTTATGAACAGCCTGAAGTAAACCCAAGGACCTTGTCAGGCCATGCGGCATTCCGAGCTATGGCCAAGTTACCGAGTACATAGTCAAGAGAGTGTCCAGGGTAGCGCATTCCTGGAGTGGCTAGATCAGCGACGCGCGGAGCAAGGCTTAGGGTGCGGTTGTAGCTAGTTCTTGACACACCATGTAGAGCACCAATGATAGCTGCCTGGGACAGCTGTTATCTTTTCGCCCCAAATCTTCCTTGGCCGCTCTACTAAAGTCAGACACATGCTTATCTTCTCCTGGACCTTCTGATGGCTCCTGTGATGGATACATCCAAGAAAAGAACCCAATCATGCAGAGCCAGCACCAAAATCTGATCTGTTCGCTCTCATTTCTCGAACAGCCCCATCCCTCGCACAAAGAAGTCAAAAAAGGCATCTTTGGATTGAGGAGTGCTGGTTTCGAAACAACTGGTTTGAAGCTGAAAGTAGAGCTGCTGTTAGCTCATAGCAGAGCTGCTGTTAGCTCAGCGCAGAGCTGCTGTTAGCTCAAAGTAGAGCTGCGGTTAGCTCAAAGTAGAGCTGCTGTTAGCTCAAAGGAGAGCTGCGGTTAGCTCAAAGTAGAGCTGCTGTTAGCTCAAAGTAGAGGTGCGACGAGCTCAAAGTAGAGCTGCTGTTAGCACAACGTAGAGCTGCAATGCAAAATGGATGTAATATAACACAAGGCAGAGCCGTAGCAAATAGCTAGATAACACCAGTTGTGAGAGTGGACCCAGGAAACCAGCACTCCTTTAGCTAAGCATTATTGACGCACAGCAAGGGTCAGTTAATGTCAGCACAGGCAAGCAGTGTGCAGCTAGAGTTCAGTAGCTCAT